CATGAACGTCAAACGTGATTGTGTAAGTATAAAATGTGTTGACAGCATTCAAGCAATGGGAAATTAGAAGAGGGACAAAAAAGGGACAATATAGGGCAAGAAAGTTGATCATATCAGGTCAACCTGTCAAAATTAACTCCATTTGGCATACCCATTTGCCAGAGGACAATTTTTCATTTTTGCTTCCTCCGCCATCAAGTGAGCGAACTCAGTATGATATCAGTTCCATAACAGTCAGGCGGCATAATGATTAAAGTATGGTTGATCTGCTTATCCTTGATATGTTCCATGAATCTAACTGCCTCATTAGCTCATTAAGGTAATATTTCGCACATTTCGGATAAATAATTCTCCAGCGGTCCGTGTTACTTATAATCATGGTAGAGATAGCTTTGCTTAGTCAGTGTATTGTTATCAGCTGAGGTTTAATGACGTTTAATACTGAGATGATCTGCATATAAAAGGGATTAGTCCTACATAGTAGTGATTTGTACAGAGTAGAAGAAGCATCATTGAATTTGTTAAGCTTTTTTGCCGGTAAAGCAATAAAACATTACAGATTTTGTAATCATCGGTTGATTTTTCTGATTGCTACCATTCAGTGAAGTATAATGGAAAATACCTCAAGAATGCGTCATTTATGTTGGGAATCGATCTTCGATCACATTCATAAGAGCATCCAGCTTTCTCGCCTAACTGCTACTTAATTCTCTACATTCCTCCTAACTCTCCGCATTCTCCTATCCCCATACGCTGACCTTATCGATCACTGGAACTTATCTCTCCCAGAAAAACGTTGCAGTCCATTAAATTCTCGCAATAAGCTTAGCTGCTTTTCAAAAGTCAAAAGATACTCTTCTATTAGTGCTCCTTCTTGAAATGTGTGACAGCTTTAACTCTTCGTTATGCTTCGAAACGACCAGTTTACTGTTTAGTCAGATTTCTCGTCCCTTTCACATTTTATTTACACATTCCGTACAAAAGAGGAGGAGGACTATGTTAATGGATCTGTTCTTGCAAAATTGTACTAGTCTGGATTTGTATTACTGAAGGAAACAGTAGTAGCAGCACAGTGGTATCTGAACAGTCCGTTCCGACCGTCTGTTATCTCAGGTAAAGCATTCATCATGCTCCTGCTATGCTTCCTCTCTTACCCTTTTGTAACGCTGACAAAAGTCTGGTATATAATCCTTAAAGATTTACATACAGCTTTTCTATATTGCAGTTCAGTTCCAAAATAAAAGATTAATTCTAATTCATTCAAATATATTTGGGACATTAACTCATTTTTCAAGGCCAAATATTGAATGTGCAAAAAAGATGCAAATTTGTAATGAATATTTGTTCACAGTGAAATTTTTTCGTTTTATCACAGTCAAAAGTAGGATTGAACTGCTTTCCTGATATTACGCATGGTGTGCTCCTGATTGCGGAGAGTTAATGAAGGTTGATTTTAGGAGAGTTAAAAAGATAATTTAGGAGAGTTAATGAAGATGATAATGGGGGAGAATACTAGATGAGATCGTCTCTAAAGTTTAATTCTGAGTTGAGTAAAGTTTCATTGCCAGTTTTTGATACAAGAACGTCTGTGGTTTATCTTTATTTCTATGGATAAACAGGACAGATGTAAAAGCTGGTTAACTGAAGAAAGAAGTCCTTCATTCTAAATAAAAGATTTCTTGTCTTTTGCAGTTGAAAAGTATGAAATTTGCTTAGATTTAAGGAAAGCTATGGAAATGATAACAATTAAAATGGATGGTAAAGAAATTCTTAATGAGCAAATTAAAATGCAATTATCCTCCAGTAATCTGGATACGTTAGGAATTGTATGGTGTAGATTTAACATGTAATATTGACAGTGTTACTTAGTTAATTAGGGTGAATCTGTGTCCTATGTTCCTTTCTTTTCTTTGCTATGGAATTTGTACATTAAATAGCATTCATAAGTCTTTGTAGTAGTACTGTATGAAACTATGAAACAGCATCCATCGTTTACGTTGCTATCAGTTTCTTACTTCCAGACGAATAATTTTTATTTTCAGATATACAGTGACTCTGCTGTTGCTGCTGCACCATAACGTCCCCCTCCCTCCTCCTCATCCCTCCCATGAGGGATTAGGGATATTTTAAATTCTGCAAAGAAAAAATTTCCTCAAGTTGATTTTTCAAAATCCATTTATAACAATGCACATACATTAAAGACATTAAAGCAATGTATATATTGCTTGCAAACAGTGAGCAGTGATGAAAGACTCAACACAACTCTATTTCTTCTCTGATTATTATCGTTATAGCCAAACACATGATGCGCAATTTTCAAACTTATATAGCTGAATTAGCTTTGAAATTCCAATTTAGCCTGTTGTTTAGCTCTTTCTAAAGATAGCATCGAAAATTACATCAAAATTCAAAAATTTCTTGGATTTAATTTCTCAAATTTCTTCGGAGTACTATCTAGATGCTCATTTTCCTTTGACCTGTCTCATCTTGTCAGTGTATAACTTTGAAATTACTTTTGAGATCATGACTCATCAGTATACTGTTCGAGAAATCCAGGAGCATTTGCTTAATTGGTCGATATTAAGTTAATTAACAGAACAGACAGAAAACTCCAAGCTAAATTTAAACCCAAATAATTCCAATGCATGCAACGAAGTCTTCCCAGCTTTCACCTTTCATATTTCCTGCATTACTTTTTCACTGATTATTTGCGTAACATACTAGACATAGTTTCAGTTTGTTTCACGCTACCCTCCATTACTGCAAATAGAATAAAACAAGATGTCCGACGAAGAGGAACAATAGTAAGTGCATTTAACTGATATCTGGAATTAAGTTGTTTTCTGGATGTTCTATTTGTCCCATATATTAATATAGAACAATTTATTTTGGATCCAGAAGTCTACCAAGTGCAACGATAATGCGATCTGCCTTGATACCTTCGATACATGTCCACTACACACCGTTGCAATTGTCTATGTAAGAGCAGTCCTGAGCCAGATGATAGTATCTGGCATTATATTAGCCCGGTTCATATTCAGGGTCATCGCATGTATCAAATCATTTCTCTTACAGTTTCTAATGCTTGCAAAATACATGTAAATTCTGCTGATCCCACTTCAAATAGTCATGGGTCACGGTATTCAAGAGGCTCACCATCACTTGATAATCCCGTTCCACCTATACAACGTATATTTGACGGGCTTGGAGCAGTTACTTCAACTCCCTCAGCTTGTGGTACTTCCATGCACAACACTACCAAACCCGTAAATAACATCAGTGCTAACGACAATATCACTTCAAAACAGGCTTACTCTTCCGGATGTTTTCTTTCTCTTTATGGACATACAGGTAGTCCAGTTGCAGGATCTACTATAAGGCACGAGAAGGTTCCATCCCGAAAAATTGGAACTACTGCACCATATATAAGCACAAATGTTAATTTCAACATGCCTAAGAAAGGCAGCTATTCTACTCAAATATACAATTACGGTCAAACTACAGCAAACGATCACATGGAACAGAAATTGAGTAGTTCCGATGGGTCGGGGAATTACTTGGTTCGCTACAGGTCGTATGATGTTAAATCACTGCATGTGGAAAACAACTTAAAACGGTTCCCAATCAGTGAACAAACAACTTTCGATATAACTTCAAACATACCACAGTCTAGTTTTATGGATACAAAGAACCGGGGTTACGCAGCAAAAAGTTTCATAGCACCGTTTTCAGTGAAGCCTGCCAATATGGGACAAAATAGCTTTACTAGCTTTGTTAACCATGAATATGGTACCATGAGAGTTCAACCAGGTCATGTGAAGCAAGCGGACAGTTTTAACTATGAATTATCAGTGGCAGAAATACCACATAAAACTTCCAGTGAACAGAGTAGAAGTGGACATCGGAACTCACAAGAAGGAGCAGTATCTGGACAAGAGTACATGAAACGTCTTCTTCAAGCTCATCAGGTCGTTGATGAGCTGCTTAAATCGCGGGGTTTGATACCCGATGATGAAAATGACTATTTGCGTAACTGGTACCAGAAAATGAATCGAGAACCAAAAACTGAGGAACGAAACACAATGGTTGTTTCTGATCCAGTGGTATCCAAAAACGCTGGAAGCTTGAATACTTTAGAGGCTTCTCATCAGCGTTGCACATCAAACGTGTCTGATTCTGGGTTGTCAATGGATGCCGATTCAGAAAACGATCTAAGGAGCATTCCAAAATTACGAGAACCAAGTTCCCGAAATTTCATGGTTACAGATTTATCACCATCCATAAAGCAAGAAAGAGCTCCCGTAACATCGATAAAAGTTGATATCGTAAAGGCAAAGAAGCATAAGAACGTGTACTTGAAAGTGATAATCAGGAGGCCGCAGTACTGCTGGCTATGTATGAATGTGAAGATAAGGCTTGAAAAAAAAGAGGTAACGATAAATTCCGATGCAACAAGAAATTCAAAGAAAAGCTGTAATGAAGGACGACAAATGGCTGGCGACCGAACGGAAGGAGCCAAAAACAAGAATCAAGTAAATATATTGGCGAAATCAAGCGAAAATTTCCTCACTCAAAATAAAAGACTAGATCAAGACCACAAAATGAAGGCGAAAACAGCACTCGAACAGTTGACATTAATGTCAAATCGAGAATCGAACACTGCAAAATTTATTGAGCGAGAAACAGGCAAGAAGCACAATGCCTTTTTATCGAAGCCGAAATATGAGACAGTGGATGTGTGCTGTTGTTTCATAAATAAACCTTGCTGCAACGATAAAACGAAAATCTCCTTACCAATAACACGTTGTGCAACTATTAAACAAAAAAATATAACCGTCGGCGGTAAAAAATTTCCGAACAAGATAGAAAAGGAACGGAAATTGAAATGCAACCAAGGTAATTCGGAGCATCCTTACTTGCTTGCGAAGACCAGAAAGCTGCCCTTTGATCTGTCAGAGTTGCAGAATATGGAAAAGACGAACAAAATTATAGTAGCCCGAAAGAAAGATGAAATAGTCGAGAGCAAGGATAATATGACAGAAATCAAAAAAGATGTTGTAGATCTGAATAAAACCAAGAAACATTCCAAATTTCCGATTCCGAAAAAGGAATCTACAAAGGAACTAAAAGCACCACAAGAAAGCGCTAGTTTGTTTTCAGTATCACATACGAATAAAATAACATCAAATCAAGCACGAAAAACTTCTACTAGTGGTAAACAGGTAACTGTTTCGAAAAATTTCAGTCTACAGTCAAAATTACCTCAATTAGAAACGGCAATGACAGTACCAGTGAGATTGCACAAAATAAGGATCACCAAACTAGTGATGATTAAACAGATGGTAAATAACAAGAAGTACCAGCATGAAGGACTGGTGGAAGCGGACGACCCATCAGTATTGAGAAAAAATGAGTGCCTTGAACTGAAGAAATCTCTAAAAGCGTTACAAAATTACACCACAGTAACAAGCAATTACTATCAGGAAATACTTCGACCGATCACTAGAACTGAAAATAACACGATAACAGAATTCGAACACAATGCTGATATCGATATATGCCGAGCACGGGAACATCTGAGACGTATCAATTTTAATAGAGCCGGTATAAGACTGGAACCAAGTACTTCCTTCGTTCACAGGATCAACGATGACCCAGTGAAGTTATCCGATACAAGGACAACATGCCTAGGAACTTCTTCGGGACAGAGCTCCTCAATTTCATCACTGGTAAAGAACAAAGCAAATAAAAAGGTATCTGAAAAGAAACTGGACAAGGACTCGAAGGATCGACCAACAGAGACGCCTCCTACATCTACAGAAAACGAAAGATATCACGGTGGCGGAACAACTGCAGAATGGAATGGCGATATTTTAGACAGAGAACTAATTAATGCATACAGACGTACTCAACGTATCCCCAAACCTCAAGCCAAAATTCCAGTTTGGAATGTGTATGACGAACGAAAACAAACAGCAGGTATCATACGGAATCCACCAAAACTGCGCCACGGAACTTTATCCACTGCATTACCAATACCCCACTTCATTCGTACTCGTACGCCAGCACCCATCGATGTTGCTGTCACTTTGTCCACACCCGTCCCTGCTACTGCTGTATTGCGTCACGTTACCGCAAATCATTTGTCAGTTATGACTCCACGACTTAAAAATATTTTGTCAAACGATAGTGGCACAACCATCGCGAGCAGTTTGCAGCAGCATTCACCGAGCAATCAGTTTGGTGTTACATTAAAACGTGTCGATCGCGCCACCATACAAAAAAGCAAGCCGCGTGGTGCTATAACACAATCAGCACCAAAGAAACCTTGGGTACCAAAGTGGCGTCGGATACAACGGTATACACTTGATAGACTTACTTTCTTTTATTTTATGTCTATAGTTAATCCCTTAAATTCAAGAAATTCTATACTCTAGGAAGTCGCAAACTTAACAAACTTTTTATTGTAGTACAGAAGAAGAGGAGGAAGTGGAAACGATATCGGTCGTTGAAGTGAATAAGAAACATGGAATTGATGGTGATGAGCAGGAAGAGAAGCAAATGCTCACGTACCTTTTATCCTCGTTATTCAAAAGCTAAAGTGCTCAGTTGGAAATATATTGTGAAAATAATTTGTAGCAGGTGTCCGTCCAAGTATTCAGTACAGCAGCTGTACCTAGTGATATGGACAAAGCTACATGCAGGCCTACAGAAAAAAAAAAAAAACGTAAAATGACAATCAACTTTTTGTTGTTCTTTTAGTAGTGCCACTTCTTTCATTCCTTCCAGCTAAGTTACAAAATTTGTTTCAGACGGTTATCATCGCAGATTTGCACTGAGAAGGATGAAAAGGATATGACCGAAGCGGAGAAAGCCATGATGGTATTTGCTTTCTGCTTAATTGTAATATTAAAAATTAGTTCATCAAATAATTTTTTACACCGTTGTTCCTCAAATTTCGATAGGCTGACATTTGAAAGTTTTGAGCGGAACTACTGATTCCAAAAAATAAGGATGAAATATTTTCTAGGTGGCAAAAAGACGTCAGATGGAAGAGGAAACTGTAAAGTTACAAAAATATGAAGAAAAACGTCGAGTTGAACGTGAACGGGAAGAAGAAGAATTGAGAAAGTTGAAAGAAAAGAAGGAGCGAAGAAAACTTGAACGAGAAGAGGAAGAGCGACAGTTTCAAGAAAGATTTGAACAAGAAGAAGAAAGAAGGAAGCAGGAAGAGGTTCGTTCTTACTTCCTTTAACGCTGACTATTGAGACCGAGAATATGATAGGTTGACGTAGTTTTAAACAGCTAAGCCAAATACATGGAATTTGAATAAATATCGAATTATCAACTTGTGGAACGAAATTTACATTTTAGGAGGAGCGCAAAACTAAGATTGAAGCAGAGAAACGTAAAAAGGAGGACGAAAAACGAAAACGCCAACGAGTGTTATTATCACAATTTGTGAATACAGCTGCGGGACAGACGGGACGTAATTTTGTTATTCCTCAAAAATCCGACAAAGCCAATAAATTCGGTAACATCGTTCAGGTATATTTACAGGTTTAGCATATAAAAAAAATAAAGGTATTTGTATTTTCCTGGATTCATAAATTGATTTTTCTAGTATTTGAACTTGAGAAACCGGTTCATAGTCAAAGAAACACACTAAGATTTGTATAAGTAATGATATATACCGAGAAACGCAACTTACTGCCTCACATTATGTGATCAGTGAATATGCATAATCTATATGTTATCTGAGTTTTTGCCACCAGTATTGCTTTCCTAACGCTTTATTTTTTGAATTGTAAAAACGGACGGATTCATCATCTTCATGTGTAAAGGGAAATTGTTTTCAGGCCAAACAGGAAATGAGTATGACCAAAGTACAACAAGAAGAAGCAAAGCGTAATTATTTGCTATCTGTGAAGCGTATCATTGAATTTGGAAAAGTTGCGCCGACAGAGTTACGTGAAAAAATACGTCAATTACACCAACGCATCTGTAAGCTGGAAGCCGATAAATATGATTTAGAAAAGCGACATGAACGACAAGAATACGACGTAATTACATTTATATTTAGCATAATTTGAGCCACTCTTTTACATGGTTTTTGTAAAAAAAAAGTTAAGTTCATTTTTCTGTATGTTTTATATCCAATAAAAAAAATTTCCAGTTGGTTTTGTTTGTTACGGTCGTCTACATAAAGCTCGGCCGCAGAACCAATATGTTCATACAATGCTGATTTAACATAAAAATGTAAATTTATTTCAGCTACGTGAGCTAAACGAACGTCAACGTCAAGTGGCGCGTAATAAAGCACTCAAAAAAGGACTTGATCCAGCTGATACGAATTCCAGACATCCGGTTACTGCTTTGTATTTTTCCGGAGTAATATAAGAAATTGCGAAAAAAATAGGAAAAACAATGGAAACTGAGCTGTAAACAGCTTTCTTTTTCTATGACACTAACTGTTTTTCAGTGTTTGTGCAAGTGAGATTATAGACTCTAAACAATAATTTCAGAGATTATTGTTCTTACAGAGATCTGTCATATCATCTTCTAAAAGTGCTATTTTAGCGATCAGATCTATACCAACTCCAGCGAAATCAGAAGTCACTGCTGATGTAACAGGGTTTTTTTCTTACTGTTTGCTTCAGCTGCATTACTAACTGCACCGATTGCAACAATCTCAACCATTTCAGAAAACTCTTTCACATCAATAGAAAGAATTTTGCATTAATTTTCATTTTCTCATATAAAATGTTGGCATACAAGCTTATGAATAGTAGATTATTGGCGGCTGAAGCAAACCTTTCTTCACAGTTCATTTTCATTACATTTTAGCCAAAAGTATCGATAGTGAGCAAATACGATCGACAAATCGACCGAAGAAATTTCACAGAACGCAGGGCTATGTTTGAGAATGTACTTTTCAGTTAATCATGTTTTATAATTCTGTGTTTCGTTCTTATTCACTAATAGTTTGCTATCACTGCATGCGGCTGTCGTGAATTATGACATTCATTAATTTAGCAAAATTTTTGTTCTATTTTGGTTCATTGTAATTTTCATTTATAAACACTTTCTGCAATGTTCTTAACATACCTGTTCATTATGTATGACTATGCACTTGTCCACGTTTATTATGTTTTAAACGACGTTTGCTTCCAGAAAACTGCATATCCATGTTTTCCGAATGTTCCACCACCACCAACTGTTTACGAGAAAATGATTCTCTCCGATGACAAAGCGGATGTATGCAATTTTCGCATTTAATTTATTTTACAGTGCTTTTTTAAATTGCTTCTCAAAGACATTGTATACCAATTTTAGGAGCCAGAAGATGGGGACGATGAATTTGGCGAACAGGTATGGTTTTACAGAAATGTGTCACGTTCATTTGTCCACTTATCTTGCTTTATCAAATCTCATTTTCTAAATTGTTTAGTATAATTATTCCTGTTCTGGGTTTTCTACCCTATTTATGAGTTACTCCTTAAAAGCTCCCTTCCATTTATTGACAGTTCTCTCGAAACATTTCAATAACTTTATTGTCCGGAAAACTTTGGAAAACTCATTTCATTCTCTATTTTTACTTCATTTCTTCAAAATCCTACATACAGCAGCGCTATAGTCTTTGAACAGAGAAACTTGACTATGTACATCATAACATGACTTCCTTCCCTCTTTCCACATATATAACTGAAGAGAGCCCAGATGAAAACTTAAAACGTTTCGTGATAATTCCGTGAAAGTTCATTGAAAAAGGTTTAAAATCTCATATCAAAAAACAGTTACGGGCAAATACTATTGCTTGAATTGCAGGAAGAAGAAGGAGACGAAGAGGAAGAAGAGGGATAAATTTTGTAAAATACTTGCATGAATCATCAGTTATGTATCACCAGTTTATATTCGGTCACAAGAACTTTTTTTTTGCTTTATCCCAGCAGTGACGTTGTTCTTTTTTCTTTCAAAAGCATATGTTTCTAATATATTTTGTGTTGTCCTGTTTTGAATCATGCTGCATACAAAATAACTGTTAACATAGCCGATAGAGTGATAACGTTCAAAAAGAAGTTAACCATAAACAAATCCGCTTCTACTTGCTCAACAAAATCCATAAGGTACATATCAATGAATCGTACTAACAAACATTTTAACTTGTGTGCTACTGAGGCTTTGGTATAATTTAATGATATTGGAGTGGTTATTCCATTTACTTCAAAAATCGTGATTTGTCAAATCCTAACAAGCAAAAATGCATCTCTGTGTGGGCAGTAAACGTATTCATAAGATTGGAAACCAGGATCATGCCCGTGAAGGGTAATTGATTTCAAAGCTATAAAGAAATTTTGAATAATTGAAGGCAAGAAATCGCTATTTGCTCACTATTTATACCAAAATTTAAACCAGAATTACAATAAGTATCTTTTGACGAACTGACTTGTAGAAACCTGGCGACTTTAATGGCGTAGGTTTTAACTAGGATGTGAAGGAAGAATTTTCAGACCTCGGTGCAAATTATAATGGTGCGCAGTTGCGCTGGGCAAAATTCAAAAACGGCAAATAAGTGGAGAGTTGATCAACGTCATCAAGCGAATCTAACTGTCAACTTACATTCAAAATCCATTAGAAATTTAATAAACAACGAATGGCAATCGAGGCAAAGCGGTCAGCCATCCAAAGAGCTTAAGTGTGTCTGGACACCTGGATACTTTTGAACAGCTGTGGACCTAGTAATATAAAATGTTAATGTTCTAGTTTTTAATTCAACATGATAATTCAGTAGGAAACCCAAAGCACGAAAATTTTTCATTTTTCCAATTAAAATCCAAATATATAAATAAATTCATAATTCAGATACAAATATATGCCGTGTAACAAAGATTCCAAAAACGTTCATAAATCAAATCAGTTCAAAAATCATTGTAAAGCCGGAAACGAAACAGCTAGAGTTGGCAAAAGTGGAACACGAAAAGAAGGAGAAAGTAGGTAAACGGTTTATTTGGAAATCTCCAAACTTCAACTTACAGGATAGTTTCCACTAGCTCATTTACACTACTAATAACCTAACTAAAGAATGGACTTTAAAAATTACAGAAAAATATCACAGAACTTGAAATCCACTCTAAAAAGAGTGGGTTTTTTTTCTCCAGTCATCCATGAATGAAGACTTTTAATAATATTGAAAGCAATAAATTGAATATTATTGTTTAAAATCTTTTTTGGCGTGCCAGGAGTTTAACATTGATCTTTTTTTCCTTAGAAATTATTTTGGGTTTGTTGACGAAATATGAATTTGTGATTATAATTTTACTGGTGTTCATTTCTACTTATCACTTCAGACTACTTTAGCCGTTAGCCAGAGCTGAATGAATTCCAACTTGAAGTTTGAATGTTTGAATGAAAGTTGAATGAATTTCGCAAACAGCACAGTAATAATTTTAAGTCTTTTAATTTAGTTCTTTACGAAATCATGGAAAACAGTGAAAAATAAACAAAAACTTCAATTTTTAGAGTTTGGGCCCAGTCAACGAAGTAACGGCTTGTAAGCCAAACTTGTCGAAGTTTATCCCCAGTTAACGAAGTAACGACTTGTAAGCCAAACTTGTCGAAGTTTGTCGAAGTTAAAGTTCGGCTGTTGTATTCATTATTGTTACCATGCATGGTTTCTTGAAATCTTTATCAGTTTTTTCTTTCTTTTTTTTCCCAAGCCTAAGAAACATTAAGAACAAGACATAACAGAATGGAACATTCATGAAAAATATATGCAAAATTGAACTTTTTCCTTGAGAGGTCATACGAACCATGAAAATATTCATATTTGTCATCACTCACTGAATACTTTGTCAATCTTAATCCTTTCCCGACATTTTGGTCCATAAAATGTTTTGTACCATACCAATATAAATCTCTAGTATGTTGCCTTATTTTTCTCTATAAATCATTTTGGCTAATATAAAACGGTTCGTAAGAAACAATTGTCTCTTCTTTATGTGTTAACAGAATATTTGAAGTGTTTTTCCGAACTGTTTAGCATCAAATTTTTATGTGTGACCATAAATAGTTACTAAAAGTGCTTAGCAGAGATGTTCACAATTTTCACAAACCTGTCAGTATTCGTCCAGCAGGTGGTGGTTGTACAATTGGTATATCGCTTTTAATGACTCCATTTATTTATGCCTTCAAATTAAGTTATTTCTTTTATTAGGATTATGCGGCCATTTAGTGTTATAGATTTGACGTTTATAGTGTGATTGCCAGATTATACTGCTCTATAATGTCCCCAGACATAAACACTGTTTTAGGTTTCTCATGCAAAACTCGAAATTTTCATCCAGTAAGCCCAAAATTTTCTCTTGTTGCTGTTAAAAAACGCAGTGTGCTACAAAATGCAACTCTTTTTAACTTTATTTGCTACTAATTTAATTATAAATTGCTGGACACTTTTGCATCTATGTTATTTAGATAAGAGAACATAAAGACTATACGGAATATAATCAATTTAACAAAATCAAATGGTGAAATGATGGAACAAGTTAGATTTAAATTATTATACAGCAACATTTTGGTTATATTGCAGTGAGATTACAGCAAGAATATAAAACAAAATTACGGTGGATAAACGGATAATGAGTACAGCATTGTCGAAGGAAATAATAAGTTTGACCAGATAATTTGAAATCTGAACACATATGGAAGTCAAATATATTTGATGAGATTACGCTGCTATGCTAATCGGATGAAGTATCATGACTAGCGCAGAAGATCACTATTGTCGAGAAAATTATGCTTCACCCATCACTCTAAAGAAATTTATGTAAAAAAAATTTCAAATTTTTAGTTGGTTTAAAATATGTATATTATCGAAGAATTTTGCAGATAATAATGAATACAGTAAGGAGTAAAGAGGAAAATATGTGTATACTGGAGATCTACAATAGCGCAAAACTGGTTTTTTGCATATCTCTGCCAACCGCACGAATGAGAGTTTCTGATATAAACGAATTGTTCCTGATAAGTCGAGGTGTACGTTGAGGAAATAACCTGGACCAAGATTAAGATTAATTACAGAGCGAGATCATTTCTACCGGTTGGTGTGGGAGAATATTACTTCATGAGTTCGAAATAAAATGCAATAGATCAATGAATAAATAAAATGTGGTGGTATCATCGAGTTTCATTTGCTAAGTAATTGGTTTTTAATTCACGGATTATCTAATTTTGCTAATGGTAATACCATATGCTATTTGTATACCCACTTTTTGTTTTTTTGCTGTCCATGCTTTTGGTAACACCACTTCTTTAAACAGATAAATACTGAGAAATTAAGGACTTCTTTCCCTTAGAAAAAATTACGATGTAGTATTACAGATGAGAGTATGACTAGCAGTAATCCGAAAGTATACTTGATACACAGAAAGTTTTTCCAGAAGAATGAGGAGGAGAAAAAATGCAATTTCCCCTTCACTTTTGTATTTATCTTCAAGATAATATTACAAAATTTTTTGTTTGTTGCTTTCAGCGAGCTATCAATAGTTCTTGTCACGCTTAACGCATACTGCAAACAGATATGCAAAGTCATATTATCGTTTACAAATTCTGTTTTACAGTTGAGAATGGAAGAACTCAAAAATTGACTTGAATAACTGACTTCATAACAAGTTCAACTGTAACTGTTATTTTATCTGGTATTTCATGTCTGTTAATTTGCAAGAAAATTCTTGACTTAGCTGAAATATAAACATTCATTGATGTGTGCAAATGCTTGATTTTGCAATCTTACCTTATCTAAAACGAAGACGCTAAATCTTCTTTGTAAGGAGAGATTTTCAAATAACAAGTCAAATAAACATCTTTGGAGCAATAAAATTAGGTGATTCGTGGACAAGAAGTTACGGTTCAGTAGGGTAAAAGAATGCCATGATTCGATCTTGGCCGTACTCATTACTAGCAATGCAAATGTATACTCCCAAGTCTTCCCACTGTGTATCATAGATAATCAAATCTCCACTTGACAATATCTGAAATATTGGTGAATTTTTGAGATGTTGTTTAACAGCCATATTCAAAATACTTATCATCTATTCAACCAAGGCTTGGTTCAATTTTTATATGTTTTTATTTAATTACATTTACTTTGTATTTCTTAACGTCGTCGAGTTTACAATTTTCCTCATTGTACCAAGTGATATTTGGTTGCGGAGTTCCATTAACTCTACAGAACAGCTGTACTGTTGCACCAGATCTTTCGAAACGACCATCTGTCCACATGTTTATTATGGGCGGTGAATGTTTATGCAGGCATTTTGCGTTGTCTTCTGAAAGTTTCGTGGACAGTGAAAGCTGAGGATACTACTTGACTGCTCTGCTTATAGTTTGATAAAAGTACAGAAATTTGAACAAATAGTAATGAAGGTAAGGAATTACAAGCAAATGTTATACGGAAGTGTTGAAACTTGCCAACAACAACAGTCGTTGTACTTTCCAGTTTTTGATGGCCATTGCTAGCTAAACATTTGTATTCAGCTGTATCTTTGGTTTGAATGCATGGAACGACCACCTTGGATGCAGTTGCACCATACTGTATGGTACTTAGACCAGCATTATGCAATTTTTCTGCAGCATTACTTCCATCTGCGGCATGGATCACACTACCGTTATGTGCCCTGCAAGATATGTTATAAAATAGGCTTCATTCAAAAAGAGTAATGAAATATTCCAAGCCTACTTCTCAATACTGATTTGCTTCCAGTTTTTCTAATAGTCACTTTCAAAAACTGAAAAATATATCTGAAAATAAAGTTCACTCGAATAAAATAAGCATTGTTTGAGATGTGGACCTGTGTTTTAAACGCGGCTTTGATAGAAACGATCATAATCAACTCCTCATACTGCTGTAGTTAATAGGAATCTCTGAGAATGCTTCGGGTAAAAAGTCGTTAATTTAGCTAATCAAAACTGAGTACATTGATAACCTTACAAGTAAAGGTAGCACAGTCAATTTATTCTTAATTTTCAAAAACACAATAACAAGAGATTTGACTGGCAAATGCAATAAAGAAAACCATTCGATGACTGGTGGTGGGATGCCAATCGCTTCACATTTCAACACAAGTTCGTCTCCCTCAGCTATTTCAATTTCTTTTGGTGTTTTGGTGAAGTGCAAATAGGGAGCTTCAGTTAAATGTTCTAGAATTATTTTTCACTTACAAACGATTCTTTAAGGAAATACAATAAGTATACCAAGAGGTTCAACATAACGAAGTCTATGGGATGATTGTGGAGTTCATTTTTCGTTTCCCATACTTTCAGTTTATCACAAAAAAAAAAAAAAGAAAAATTCATTTCTACGCAACGCCAAGGTTTAGAAACCAATTTACAATGCATATTTAAGATAATATATTTTTGACGGAAATCTTAGTCCCATCAGAGGACTTGAATTATCAAAAACAACCTGTATCAAAATACCTGCATGAAGATTGTCGTTCAGTACTTCTATGCCCTTTTCAATATCTGTTTGCATAATCTGAAAACTTCGTAACTATCTTAATTTTTGATGAAAAAATCAAGAAAGTGTACAGTTAGAGAGGGAAACTAGGAAGTAATTTAAATGCGAATCATTTTGAACATTGTCGAGCATCATGACTCACATGACTTTTTTCAAAAATATCTCGTTGAGGTGGTGTGGACACTGTTAAGATGATCAAAGTCAATAAACAGATCGTTGTGAGATCAGTTACATGGAGCATTCTCTGCCAGGAACGGAAGCGAAAATGTGATGAAGTACTTATTCCTCCTAAAAAAATCAAGCCACCAACAGATTCATTACAGCAATAAAAACAGCAAAAAAGTTCGATAGCTAACATATTTGAAAGTATTTCTCATGTATGAAACAAACTAGAAAAGAGTACAAGAGATAGAATGTTAATCATTGCATGCTAACTGTTTCAAATAAGATGGCTAAGCAATGATTTAGAATTTACATAGGATTTAAATGTACACATAGAAGACAGTGTCGATATTGCTGATGGATCTTTTACTTCAAACTGAAGCATTTAAAAGTGTAAACTTTATAAATGTTTGGTGAGGAAGTCCGAAATGATTTAATAAAAAGAAAAATCAAACTTAAAAAGAAACTTAAAAAACTTAAAAAAAATCAAACTTTTTTTTTCTTAAAAAGAATCAAACTTGAAAATCAAACTTAAAAAAATCAAACTTAAAAAAAACTTAAAAAGAATCAAACTTCCGCGGTGTATTGCTGTATTGGAGCAATGCAGACTGGTTCTAACAACAACCTCGGCAATTAATTTTTGCTGAAAACAAATAAATGAAAAAGTTTTGTGTGTCTACAAATTAACCTTGCCTTAAAAAAAATTCCGAATTCGGAAATACACCAACAGCATAAATCTGTTTAGCCTATATTGGGTAATAAGTACGACGCACATTCCACATAACTTTTTTTTTTTTCTTTTTTAAAACAACTGTAAACAAATGCATTAAAAATAGCATGACGAAAAATTACTATTATTCGTTTAAAATTATAAATTTCATATCGTTCACACCATAACAGTCATCAGAAGCATAAATTAGTGAACTGTTTTGGCTTCAAGTTTTTTTGTCATGTTCATTAAAAATAAATTCAGGGATGATGAGAACGGCTTGACAAATGCTGATACTGTTCCGTGCACTAAAAATAATTATTGCATGTTTTATCCATTATTACCAGCTTCTTCGATCTTCATTTGTTTTCACAGATAATGGCATAATTATAAGTCGGATGAGGCCAAACATCGAAATCTGATTCTTAAAGTGTATTATCTTGTTAATTCAACGTCGGACTAAGATGGTCAAAGAAACTTTGAACTGGCGCATTCAGTGCACAATTTTGGAGTAGATATTTAGAGCTATTAGGATAAAAACACTGCTGTTAAAATATGTCTCTAAAATAGAAAATTAAATTTATTTCACATACATAAATAAATATTTTCATGGAAATATTCAACCTCATAAAATACCGGATTACAGTAGGGCAAATGAAAAGCGGATTAATGAA